CCTTCCCTGCCCCTGTTTTCTAGGGTTGTTGGGTGCTCGAAAATGTTGTGAAGGCAAGAATGCTTTATGCGGCGCTGGCGCTCGCCGTAGGGAGTGACCTGGTGGTTGGACATATGACTGGACATTGTTCGGAGGATAATACTGAGGTGGATTATGTGGAGCTCGGGGACAGGTTTGGGGTTGGAGTTGAGGCTGTGTATATTGGTGAGGCGGACCTTTTAGTCCACGTCGTGACTCTGAAACAACCATGGCAAAATCATCATGTTCTTTCTGACCCAGCAAGCTTCATGTGTCGTTCTGAATTGCTTGTGTTGTGGCTTTTAAAGCAGAATAACTCATGATCTTGCTGGACTTCAACCCATCTTCTACCATTTCTCCCATTTTTACCACATCATTAAAAGACCTACCCACAGCCGTGATCAAATGCCCAAAATAAGTTGGTTCTTGAGATTGAAGAAAGTACTCGACCATCTCTTTTTCTTCCATGGGAGGATTGATTCTGGCAGCTTGCTCTCTCCATCTGAGCCCGTATTCCCTAAAGCTTTCATTAGGATTCTTTTCCATCTTGGCGAGGGACATGCGATTTGGGACAATTTCTATATTGTACTAAAAGTGCCTGGCAAAGGCCTGAGCCATATCATCCCATATGTACCACCTGCTAGCATCTTGGCGGGTGTGCCGCTCCAAAGTTGCCCCACTCAGACTTTGACTGAAATACGCCATCAATAATTTGTCTTTCCCACAGATGCCTCTCATCTTACTGCAGTAGCCTCTCAAATGGGCCACGGGATCTCCATATCCATCATATAAATCGAACTTTGGCATCTTAAACCCATCGGGCAGTTGGATGTCAGGAAACAAGCACAAGTCTTTGTAAGCCATGCTCATCTGGCTCCCTATCCCTTGCATGTTTCTTAAAGACTACTCTAAGATTTTTACCTTCCTGGATATCTCATCTTGTTCCACTATCTTAGCAGGCTTTTCAGTTTCACCAGGAGGCTCAAAATGAGGAATGTGAGAATATGGATCCGAGACTTTGAAAGTTAGTTCTGGAGCACAGTGTTGGGCATCGGGGACTTTGAACACAGTCTCATTAGAGGATCGAGGAAAAATAGCTGGAGGAGGAGCTACAAGAGCATGAATGGCCAAAGGAGCGGGATATAATGTGCTTTTGAGGAGTGGAGTGTGAAAAGGTAGTGGGGAGATATCAATAGTAGTGGGAACCATGACTTGTGATAGTGATGGGATAGTTGCAGGGTTTTCAATGTAGTTAGTGGGGAATGAAGATGGAGGATGCCCCCTGATCCAAGACTGATACATTTCTGCCATCTGTTGTTTCACCCTTTGGACCTCCTCTTTCAATTCAGACTCCGACTCCACAAACTCCCTCGACGGGTCAACAACTCTTGTGCCCCAGTCTTTGCTATCCATGGCTACCTTGCTCTTTGACCTTGTGTTGCATGTATGAGTTACTTAAGAACCACAAACCAACCACCCTTCTGCTTAATGAAGATAACAAGGAGGAACAAAATGAAGTCATCATGTTAGCGTTAGGGCATTTAACAGCTGCAAATATCACATTGTGTGCAATGCACCTAGCAAAAATTAACGGTTCAAGAATGACTTCGAGGGTCACAAGGTCATTTGGCATCATCCCAATTCGTCCATTTGAATCTTCTATTTTCTTTTCTAACACTTCTTGGCTTGCTCATTTTATTTCCTCTTCTTTTTTTTTAATCATCACTCTTTTCTTTCTCTCATTTCTCACATCCCATAATTTCATCTCTTTTTATTTTTTTTCTCTTTTTCCCTTTTTTTTCATATTCTTTTAATAACAAAAAAAAAAAAAGATTCGATCGAACCCTATGTAGGTTGCCTACGTATCATGACCCCACATGAATCAGATCTTTGCGTAGTTCTGGCAGATCGAGAATAAAGCAAACAAAGTAACGTTCTCTTTTTCATTTTCTTTTTACCTTAGTGACTAATCTGATGAGAAAAGAGAAATAAAAGAAACAAATCCCCTTTTTTTTTGAATTTTCTAGACTTAATGTTCTATAACCTATTTTAAACTCAAGCTTAACGGATTTTTTTTTGAAACAAATACTCTATTAAAGAAAAATCCTAGAAGAGAGAAAGATATTTTTTGACTTTTTTTTTTGATTTTTCATTTGATATCCCTGAAGAAAAACTTCGTAATGAGAAATGAAAAAGACAAAAATTGTTTTTTGGATTTCAATTTTTAATTACCTAAATGAGAAATTTTAAAAATAAACAGAAGATAAGGTATCTTATTTCTTCTATGTGCAATGTCCTAAATCTAGTAAGAATAAAAGATTTATTTTTTTATGACCTCAAAAGAAAACCTTTTTTTTTTGGATTTTTGGAATTAATATCTTAGAGAAAACCTTTAAAGAGGTACTAAAAACAAAAATTCTCTTTTTTTTAGTCCTAATATACTAATGGGAATATAAAAACAAATATTTATTTTAAATTCTAGATATTAATTGCCTAAAGGAAAAACCACATCAAACAATTTTTTCAATTTCTAGGAGTAGTATTCCTAAAGAAAATTCTAACGGAAATATAAAAATGCAAAATATTCCTTTTTTTGGATTTTTGATTTATAACACATCTTTTTCCAATACAAAATAGGAAATACCAAAAATAAAAGACCCAACATTACTGTACAAAACTAGAAGGTAAAAGACGACATAAAAAACCACAGACTCAAAACATAATAACTAAAAAATCTCCTTAAGCAAACTCCTGACTGGATGGTCCTAAGACGTTTGTCATGCCCAAACTCCGGTAAGTAGATCCACACATGTATGGGAAAACTGAAACCAACACTATGTGAGACAATAACATTCCTTACTAGACACATGCCAGACATGATTAGAGCTATTTCTGCAAAATTAACCTATGCAGCTAAAAGTGGATAAAATGCAAGATTTGGCTAAGACCCCGCAAAGCCAAAAACCTAAGACTTACTAGGAAGACCGGACCCTACGTGGGTTGCTTACGTATCACGCCCCGAAAGACGAGAATCAGGTATGCGTAGTTCGGGCAGATTGGTTACGGGCAAGAAATAAAAAACAACTAATTTAGAGAAAATATTTTTTTTTCTCTTTTTTTTTTGAAAAGTGATGAAACATGTAAACTCATTTTGGATTTTCTTTTTCCCTCTTTTTTTGATTTTCGAAAAATGATGAAAAAGTGTAAAATCTTTTTTTTTTGAATTTTCAAGCTCTTTTTTTTAACAAAAAATGTGACCGAAAACATAATTAGGCCCCACTCTCTTCACACTTCACCCTCTCTTTTTTATTTTTTTTTCATTTGCCCTCAACTATCATTAGTCCGCCAAATGATCCTTTTACCCTCGAAGAAATGCAACATGTAGCACATAGGATGCATCAAGATGGTCTATTATTTTAGGTACACCTATCCTAGACGGACTCAACCCCTGTGTTGAGTCCCCAAAGTCAAAATGCACATGATGCAAATAAGCGTTCTTACTAGGGATCCGACATGAGGCTTTGTTATACTAGGTTTAAAACCTGGGTTTATTGTTCTAGACCTGGCTTACCCGAGCAGACAACTCGAGCCGAGGAGGGGGCTACGTACCGGGAACCAAAAAGCCATCCGGCTTAGTAACTTGTCCGAGCTTCTTTCTTATTTCAAGGTATGACACTAACAGAATAGGGAGTCATGGCCAGCGTGCACATCCCCGAAGATGAGAAAAGAGGGGTTTCGTAGCAGTTTATATACAGTTCAGATAATATCAAAGCAGTAAAAGCAACATTTAGCACATTAGACCCAAAAATGTAATAAAATCAGATAACAAATAAAACCAAATATAAAAATTCATCTAAGCTCGAATTCTTGAACCATGAACCAGAGATTCTGGGTTCGATCCCCAGCAGAGTCGCCAGAGCTGTCACACCTCTTTTTTACCTACATCCCCGGAAAGGGGGATATAAGGGAGTTTTTTCCAATTTTAAGTGACAATCGAAACAGGATTATTTTATTAAAAATTCAGAGTCGCCACTTGGGATAATTTTATGGTATCCCAAGCCACTGGTTCAAATCCCGAATCGAGGAAAAGATTGACTCTGTATTACAGTCCGCGAACACAGAAGTACGGGTAAGGAATTCTGTTAACCCGGGAGAAGTTGTTAGACATTCCCGAGTTCCGTGGTTCTAGCACGGTCGCTCAACTGTTATGTTCAGCTTAATCATCTGATTTTAAACAATTATGAATCTATGTGCAAATTTTAACTTTATAACCGCTTTTATTTAATTTTAAGAAAAAATTGCAACATCATCTAAAACGCGTCTTGAACCACGCCACATAAATGCACCCGCGGTCCACGACACATTTTATCTAACGCTGTTGAGGTTTGGATTTGGGTCACATGAAATGCACACTCGGATTTGGGAATTAGGTATCATAACTATGTCACGAGAACCATACCCATAGCCACACTAATTTATTATTAATCACACCTAAAACAAAAGTATGCTACTATCAGTTTAATTAAATAAAGCGAAATAAAGGAATAACAACAAAACTACCCAAAATTCAAATCATATTAATATTCGGTATTTGCCATGGTCAATTTGTCCTAAGAAATCCAAGTCCCCTTTTTCTTTAAAAAAAAAAAAAAAAAAAAAAAGAAGAAAAATCCCGCAACCCCTCTGCTCGTCATTCTCATTATCTTAACAACCGCATATGTAATAATCAAAATCATATAATTCAAAATCATCACCAGGAAAACAAAATCATCAACCACACATGTAATAATCAAAACCCACATCTAATTCAAACTCAATCATGATATAACACAACCCATATATAAAAATAAAGATCTGGAGCTTAAGAGAAAGAGAAATGAACCTCTAAATATCTGAAGTTTGATTGTTTCACGGAGAACTCGAAAATGTAACGGGCCGCGGATGAAAACTGGAATCGGCACCGAAAAACTCGAAACCCAAATCAACCTCAATCAAACTTGATAATCTTCGGCCCCATTTATTTTTCTCATCAATTGGAATCAGTATAAGTACAAGCAATATTCCTATCACTGCGGAAGCTTTAGAGAAAAGAAGAAAGACAACGGAAGCAAGAATAATTATGAAGTTGAAATGGATTGAGCCAAGCAATAGGACCAGCGCTACCACGATGTGAAGCAGAGAACCAAAATTCGTCCCTTTAAACTCCACCGACGTTGGAGGAGACGGCGCCGAGGGGTTTTCAATTTACACCACCCTCCTCTATAGCCATGGCTTAAATCCAAATCCAAATAACTATAAAGATAAACCCAACCAAATATAAAACCGAAAAAGGAATGTCAATTAAAGAAGTGGTTGAAAGGTATATAAATTTATATGAAGATGGTGGGAATTAGCTATGTTTTAAGATAACGACAAGGCTTTCTTGTTGTTCCAGTCACTTCCCTTCGAAATCATCATCTTCTTATAATTTTAACTTTATGACTTGTGCTTTTATGTGTAGAATCAGAGAATTGCGGCTGAAGATTAGGTGTTCTTCTAGGTTTTTTGGTCTAGGTCTAGGAATTGAAAAACTTGGGGTAGAGTTTCTATAATTGGGTATTTTATAGGGAGGTGGAAAGGGATGATGGCCATTAGATTAGAAGGAAAATAGATGGCTAGGATTAAATCTTGCACTTAAATAGGCTAATGGGTTGGGAAGAATGAGCTAAGGGTAATTGGGTTGGACCATATCTTTTATTTCAATTTTGGGCTAAGAAGACTCCAAAAATTATTATTTAAAACCATAGCTAAATTCCCTTAATATAAGATAACTATACTACATGATGCAAAATAAATTTTAATTAATTACACTAAACTATATTAAAACATGAAACTATTACATATTTTTTTGTATTTTTCAAGATTATATAAAGATAAAATTAAGGTACTATTTTTTGTATTTTTTTTACTTTATGAAAGGTACATAAAATAAAAATATTTTTTGTAGTTTTTATTTTCTTGTAATAAAATAAAGTAAAAGAGTAAGAATGAGTTGAAATAGCTATATTGAGCCTAAATTAAATATTTACGTGATAAAATATGGAAAATCTTGGGGAGGGTCAAAAATCACATGTCTACACCAACTTGGCCATATTTCGCAAGCTTTGAATAGTTGCCCTAAGAGGGCACTACCTAGTGACACGGTGGTAAACCCAAAGGGTGGGAACAGTGCCGGCCATGCAATGGCGGTGACCACAAGGAGCGGTAGAGGTAGTGAAGCAAGTACCTCCAAGCAAAAGGAAGTTGTGAGTGATCATGTTGAAGTACAAAATGAGGATGATCCAATAGTTGATGAGCAAGTGAATGAATAGAATTTGAATGGGGAGGTGAGAATTGATATTCATGACAATGAGAAAGAGACTCAAAATGACGTGAACCCGTCTAAGGAACACGTGATAGACATACCAGAAACGGTAACGCCTAAAGCCAAGGCTCCTTTGCCAATCACAAAGTCAGCTGGCAATATAAATTTGTCCACCCGAACAAGAACATCATCAATAATACCTAATGGTCTCTTCATCGTTCTATCCGCCATTTGCAATCTCATGGAAGTCGGCGTTGGTTTCCGAATACCCAAAGTCTTGAAAACTAAGTAGGACATCAAGTTGATACTAGCCCCCAAATCACATAAAGCCTTAGCAAAGTCCGCACTCCTAATGCTGCAAGGAATGGTGAAAGCACCGGGATCTTCAAGCTTTGGGGACATTGAATGCACTATTGCACTAACTTGGTGAGTTATCTTTATAGTTTCACAATCCATGGACCACTTCTTTGTCACCAAGTCCTTCATGAATTTAGCATAGCCCGACATTTTTTCAAGAGCCTCCACCAAAGGCACATTAATGGACAAGCTCTTCATCATGTCAATGAAATTTTTAAACTGATTGTTATTTTTATGCTTCACGAGCCTTTGAGGATAACGTGGAGGTGGCCTTGGCAAAGGAGCCTTGGATTTAGGCACAACCGGTTCCGGCATGTCTATTACGTGTTCCTCAGATGGGTTCACGTCATTTTGAGTTTCTAACTCAGCATCTTGAATATCAATCCTCACTTCTTCATTAACGTTCTCATCAATCACATTTTCCACCACCAAAGGAACTTCATCTTCTTGCAACTCAACATCATCACTCAAAATTTGCTTTTGTTTGGAGGCATTCACAACACCACCTCGTCCACTCCTTGTAGTTACTGCCATAACATGATTGTTCCCACCCTTCGGGTTCACTACCGTATCATTTGGTAAAGCACTCTTAGGGCGAGTATTCAAGGACTGTGAGATTTAGCCTAACTGAACCTCCAAATTTCTAATGGAAGTGTTATGGGAAGACAACTGAGCATCAGAATCCGCACTCTTTTTCACCATTTGTTCGAACATCATTTCAATTTTCCTCATATCATTGTTAGAAGAACTAAGACCTTGGGATGAAAATGGGGGCGGATTGTTCGGTTGTTGGTACATTGGGGGCCTTTGAAACCCTTGCCCCCAGTTTCCTTGGTTTGCATTATTCCATCCACCTTGATTGTTGTTACTACCCCAATTGTTGTTGTTACCATTCCATTTCCTTGATTGTTTTGATTGTTGTTCTGATTACCCCAGTTGTTGTTCCCCATATTACCATTGCCTTATTGTTGATTGCCCCAATTGCTTTGGGGTCTATTGTTGGTTGGACGAATTGCCCATTTGGCCTTAATAATTATTCACGTATTGCACCTCTTCATTCTGTCCATCATAACCATCATCTTGAAATCCACCACAATCATTGTCAAATTGCTCTGAATTCCCTTGGTTCTGTTGATCTCATTGTCTTTTTTTGTTGACAAGCATGTTAACATCCTCCATGGCATTTACTTGGAGAGGATTTTGAACTTGTTGCAACTGTGCCTTTACTAGTTGGTTCATAGTAGTTGTCAACTCAGCTATAGCCTACCCATGATCATGTAACTCTTTGTGCAAATGAGTAACCGTGGGGTCACCCTGGGGCACATTGGCTCTACTTTGCCAAGCAGAAGAAGTGTAAGCCATCTCGTCAAGAATGTCACAAGCCCCATCATAAGACAACTTTATAAAGTTGCCCCCAGCAAGGTAATTAACTATGCACTAATTTGTTGTGTTAATACCCCGGTAGAAAGTCTGTTGGATCATCGCCTCAGTCATATCATTGTTGGGGCATTTCTTTACCATTATTCTATAGCGCTCCCAAATCTCATGCAAAGTGTTGATACCCAATTTTTTATATAAAAAATACTTTCAAAATAGCATGTACATACATATATAAGCATTCCCAAGAGTTTTGGTATTTTTTCCTAACTTTTAAGATTTTAAAATTAATTTATTGTCTATTTTTAGCTGTACAAAATCCAATAATTATTCCCATGATTATCATTTTGGTGAATAACTTATTTTATTCTCATATTTACACTAAAATATAATTAATGTGATTTTTTTATATTTTTTACAAACCTATTTGGTATTTTTAAGCTAAATTGCATGTAATTGCAATTATAGCCTATTTCACGATTAGTAGCATTTTATAATTATAAAATTATTTTCAGTATTTTTAAATTAATATTTATATAGTATTTGTTAGCTCAATGTTTTTAATTTACTTTTAAAATTACTATTACTATTTTTATAAAATAAAAAAGAAAAATAGGCTATTTAACACTTAGCCCATTTCTATTTCAATTACAGCCCTTTCACCTTTCAATTTTGGCCCTCAATTTGACCCAATTCCGCCCCCAAATTAAACCATCCCAATCCCCAAATTACCCACCCCTGACCCGATTAAAAAAACCTACCCGGCTCCCCTTTGATCTAGGCCGTTGATCATTTTGATCAACGGCCGTAATTCACCCTTTCCTTTTTTAATTCCCAAACCCCCTTGACCTAATTCGTTTCACTTGAGATACCACCTTTGAACCCCTTCGTCTCTCAAATCCTCTCGAGCCTCTCCAAAACCCTAATCGTCTCCCACCTTATCTCACCATGTTTCCACCGGAATCCATGGCGTCTCCGGCCATGGATGGTCTGTACTCATCTTTTCTCACCATCAGACCTAAACTATTCGAGGTTTTGAAGCCCTACTTCAATGGCTCTCTTCAGATCATTCTCAGATTTGCAGATCTATGGCTTCTCCGGCCATTACCCCGGCATGTTCAAGCAATATGAGTCTTTTCGACTCAGGATCTGACTTTCCTCAAGACCTTTCTCATTTCTAGGGTTTTCTCTGCAACTCTAAGACGTCTGAGGTTCTGTACTTGCCTATTTTTTTTAGATCTGTGATATGTCTGGGCTTTACTTGACATTTTAAAAGGTTTTTCCCCAAATTTCTTTTTCAAAATCGCCCAATTTCAATTTTAGTGTTTCTGAAAAAAATTCTTCAAATATCTTTCTGTTTCTTTCTGTTCTTTCTTCATGTGTGTTTACCTATGTTATACTCGTATGTTTTCTTTTCTACTATGCTTGAGTTTGCTCTCTTTTTTCCTTTCTATTATGGAAGATTCTTCTACTTTTGTTGTTATTCATGTACTCACATGTTAATCCATGTTGTTAATCCTTATTCTTTGCTATACGTGTTTATGGTTGATTTCTTTGATTTTGTTCACTTTATTTAGCTCTGTTTGTGTTCTTGTTAAGCATATTTCACCTGCTTTTGTTTAAGCTCGTATCATCTCTTTCTTCTGAACTTGTTTAAACTCCGAGTTTTCTCAAACATGTTCTCATGACCTTGAATCAGTTCTTTCTATCATGTATGTTTGTTTCTCATAAAGTCTTTGGAAGAGACTTCCGAGCCTCTTTAAATGACCTTCTCTCTCAGCTTTATGTCTGACTCAATTCGAAACCCTAGGATTTGGGGGTTTCTTTGGCAAGTGATATTAGGGTTCCATTTTGGGACCCTAGGCTTTCAGACTCACTATGAGTCTGTAACTGAACTCGATTCCCTTTTGTTTGTGACTCTAAGGCTTTCAATGTTAGACTCTTTTTCTGAATAACCTGACGATTCCTTTCGTTTGTTTGGTATGTTTTATATATGTGAAATTTCTCTTTCAAAAGGTTTTTACCAACTGATTGATTGATTCTGAAATCCTTTTAATAAGGCTGATGAATTGTCACTGATTTTTCTTCGATTGAACCTCCTTCACCTTTTTTGACTTGGTTCATTCGAATTGAACCTGTAATTTTGATTTCATGGCTGTTTGATTGATTCCCTTGCCATATTTGGCACAAACCGTGTACCATTGATGGTTTTTCTTAAATAACTTCTATGTATTTACCCCTTTTATGCTACTTTGAAAGGTTTTAATTAAAATTTATTTCCTTAAGTGGCTTTTACCCGTTGGAATTAGAATCCCTTAACCAAAGGGATATTGATTTCAATGATATTTCCTTGCCTTTCTTACTTGTTTCTCTGCACTATAAAAGGGACTACCCTTCTGCACTTTTGACCACTTCGAGTTCAATACCTCAAACTTTTAGATCAATACTTTCAACTTACTTACACACTTTATTGCTTTGAGTTCAATACTCTTACAACATTCTGCTCTTTTCTGGGATCTTTTGGAACTTTTGCTTGCAACTTGGCTTTTTCAAGACTACTTTTACTTGTTTGTTTTCCCTG